CCCTAAGATCAGGATGAAGGCTTCTGTTCTGTATTTTACTGAGGGTACAAGACAGTGTAGTATGATAATAAAAACAGTATACAAATTGGAAACTAAGAAATAAAACTTTTCACTCCCAGATACCATGCTCATGTACATTAAAAATCTTATGAATTCACCAAAAAAAACTAATTAGAGCTTATAAGTCAATTTGGCAATGTCCCGGGATATAAGGTTAATATGCAAAAATAAACCATTTCTATAAACTAGCAAGAAACAAGTAAAAATGAAAACAAAATAACATTTTAAATGATATTCCATGTGTAACACTTATACACTAAAAATCACAAAACATTACTGAAATTTTATAAAGAAGCTCTAAGGAAATGCAGAGAATATACCATAATCACGAATTGGTAGACCCAATACAATACTATCACAATGTCAGTTATTACCAAGCTAAGCTATAGCTTCAATGCAATCCTAATCAAAATCCCAACAGGCTTTCTTATTTCAGAAAGTAAAAAACTAACTTAAATGTAAAACCCAAAACTCAAAACCATAAAAACCCTAGAAGAAAACATAGGCAGTACTATTCAGGATACAGGCATGGGCAAAAATTTTAAGATGAAATCACCAAAAGCAATTGCAAAAAAAGCTAAAATTGACAAATGAGATCTAATTAAACTAAAGAGCTTCTGCATAGCAAAACAAACTATCTTAAGAGCAGACAGGCAACCTACAGAATGGGAGAAAAAATTTGCAATCTACGCATCTGACAAAGGTCTAATATCTAGAATTTACAAGAAACTTAAATTTACAAGAAGAAAAAACAATCTCATCAAAAAGTAGGCCAAGGACATGAACAGACACTTCTCAAAAGAAGACATTTATGTGGCCAACAAACATATATTAAAAAAAGGTCAACATCAGTGATCATTAGAGAAACGCAAATCAAAACCGCAATGAGATACCATCTCATGCCAGTCAGAATGGCGATTATTAATAAGTCAAGGAAAAAACAACGCTGGCGAGGCTGTGAAGAAACAGGAACGCTTTTACACTGTTGGTGGAAATGTAAATTAGTTCGACCATTGTGGAAGACAGTGTGGTGATTCCTCAAGGACCTACAACCAGAAACACCATTTGATCTAGCAATCCCATTACTGGGTATATACCCAAAGTAATATAAATCATTGTATTATAAAGATACATGGACACATATGTTTGTAGCAGCACTATTCACAATAGCAAAGACATGGAACCAACCCAAATGCCCATCAATGATCAACTGAATAAAGAAAATGTGGTACATATACACCATGGAATACTATACAGTCATAAAAAGTAATGAGATCACGTCCTTTGCAGGGACATGGATGGAGCTAGAAGCCATCATCCTCAGCGAACTAATGCAGGAACTGAAAACCAAAGACCGCATGTTCTCACTCACAAGTGAGAACTGAACAATGAGAACATATGGACACAGGGAGGGGAACAACACACACCGGGGCCTGTCAGGGTTCAAAAGGAGGGAGAGCATCAGGACAAATAGCTAATGCATGCTGGGCTTAATATCTAGGTGATAGGCTGATAGCTGCAGAAAACCACCATGGCACATGTTTACCTATGTAACAAATCTGCATGTTCTGCACGTGCATCCTGGGACTTACAGTAAAATAAAATTTTTAAAAAATAAAATCAATTACAACAACAACAAAAGAAAGTAAAAAACTGATCCTAATATTTACATAAAAATTGCAAAGTCCTGAGATGAGCAAAACAAGCTCAAAAAAGAAAATAAAGTTGAAGGACTTTTACATTATTTGAAGACTTTCTACAAAGCTAGAGAAATTAAGATAGTTTAAAGATAAACTTATCAATGAAACAGAACTGAACTGAGAATCCAGAAATATATTCAAACTAATAGGGCAGATTTATATTTTTATCAAGGTTTCAAAACAGAAAATTAGACATCAATGGAATGCGACAGAGTCCAGAACAGACTCACACATATATGATAAGATTTTTTAAAATCAAGGTGCTAAGGCATATGGAAAAGAAAAATATTTTCAAAAATGATAGTACAGCAGGCTATCTATTGAAAAATAAACCTGGACCTATACTTTATATCATGCCTACTACTTTATTTTAAATGGACTATAAGCCTAAATGCTAAAGCTAAAATTACAAATCTTTAGAAAAAAAAAATGATAGAGTATCTTTTGACCTTCGAGCAGGCAAAGATCTCTTAGGCATATCCAGAGAGCACTAGACATAAAAGAAAAATACTGATAAAGCAGATATTATTAAAATTAAAACTTTTGCTTATCAAAAGCTATTATAAAGAAAATGTATATGTAAGCTCCAGAATGAGAGAAAACACATCTCAGTACATATATCTGTCCAATAACTTGCAGTCAGAATACATAAATGACTAATAAAATGACAGGCCATTTTTTTAAATTGGGATACTTCATAAAGGAAAATATTGAACAGTTTTAAAGGATATGAAAAGATGATCAATATATGTGTTAGTCACTGGGGAAGTGCAAATTAGAACAACAATGAGATACCACTACATTCCCACTAGAACTAAACTAAAATTTAAAAAACTAATAATAACAAATATTGGCAAGAATGTGAAGGACCTGGAATTCTCAGATTGCTAATGGGAGTATAAAATGGCACAACCATTTTATGGTTTATGGAAAACAGTTTGACAATTCTACTTCTAAGTATTTACCGAAGAGAAATAAAAATATTTGTTCACCCAAAGACTTTAAAGGAGTTTTATTTATAAATGTCCCAGATTGGAAATCTAAATGTCTATCAGTAGAAAGTGGTATATCCATACAATGGATATAGTCAGCAATAAAAAGGGAAGAAATTACATATACACGTCAACACAGATAAATCTCAAAAACAGTATAATCAGTTAAAAAAAAAGCCAGCTGCAAAAGAGTGGATGTCATTTATATAAATTTCTTGAACTGGAAAAAGTAATCTCCAATTATAGAAAGCATATCAGTGGTTGCCTCAGGCCAGGAGTGGTGGGAGACTGACTGCAAAGAGGAACAAAAAACTTTATGGGGCAATGAAAATGTTCTAAATCTTGATAGGGGTATGGATTGTATGACTATCTAGATTTTTCAAAACTCAAAACAGTTTATTTTTGACATCGCCACATTGCACTTAAATAAATCACACATCAATGAAAAAAGTCAATAGATACAGTTAATATGCACAGAATGGACACAGATGGCAAAATATTAGAAGATAAAAGTATTTTTCCTATGGTTATTTACATTTTTAAGATTTTCCTTAAAAAACAAAGCATTAATTACATTAAAAAATAAATAAATAAATAAATAAATAAATAAGGTCCTCAAAAGCAGCTTCATTGATAAGGTGACATTTGATCAAAGACCTGAAGGAGGCGAGGAAGTCAACTGTATGGATGTATGTGAGAAGAGAAGAACCTTCTAGGAAGAGGAAACCTGAACTATAAAACCCTTGAGGTTTTGACAAGAGCAGTGACAGGCTCTCAGTTACATTTTAACAGGTCCGCTGTGGCTGCAGTGTTTAGAATATACAAGGGCAGAAACAAGGAGACTAGTCAGAAGGCTACTGTAACAATCCAGGTAAGAGATGATTGAAGCTCGGATCAGGGAAAGCAGTGAAGTTAGAGAAAGGTCGTCAAATTCCGAATATATGTTTAAAGCAAAGCTAACATTTGCAGTTATATTGGATGTGAGGTGTAGGAGAAAGACAGATCAAGGATGACTTCAGTGGTTTTGGCCTAAGCAACTGGAATAAAGTATTCATTTGCTGATATAGAGAAGACTATGAAATGAGGTAGGTTTTTTGTGGCAAGAGGAAAGAGCAGGTTTGTTTTGGATATACTAAGTTTGAGTAAAGCTGAAGATATAAAATTGGTATCATTGGCAAGTAGAGGTATTTATAGCCACAGAACCAGGGTGATCACCAAGGGAATGTGAACACTAAAAACAGACAGGTTCAAAGAACAGGCCCTTAAAACATTCAAAAGTATCAGGAGGTCTGCAAGTTCTTAGCGTAAACTAGAAACGAAGGTCAGTAATGCCCTAAAATACACCGTAAAACTATTCTGAGAAATCTGGACTAACTTCAAAAACTAAAATCAAAAAAGCCTTTTCTATTCTTTGATTAAATGGGCAGTCTGAAGTTATCACTGATTATGTAAGTTGAAATAAACACCTAGATCAATCATGATCTTAACACCGAAACTACTGCACTATTCACCATTATTGTACATTCTATATTCCTATAATTCCATGGGTCAAGCTTCTCCATCTTTGAGACACTTAGTAATAAAAGTATAAGGACATATTCAGAATAGTTGCTCTCGAACAGCAAAGGATTATCTACTAAAGAAGAGCTATCTCTGTGTCCTCCACCGGACTCATCCGTCATCAGATGACACTCAAAGCTTGTGAGGTAATGATGTACTACACAGCTGTCCGATCTTCAGATGACACTTTGGAGGTTGATGATAAACTACAGGTCTGACAACTCACTTTCCATTTTAAGATATTTCTTGAACTTTTTCTTGTTGTGACAGGCAACCAAATTGATTAAGCCTAGTCATGGGATTTGACACTACAGCCAGTAGACTTCTATTTGTTGATTGCTATTGATTTTCTTTGATACTTCATTTAAAAATCAATAGTTGGAAAGAAAAATAGGCTTGGTTTACACATACTTAAACATACTATTGTATGCTGGAGGAGGCACAAGTTTGGCAGAGCTTTGGCATCCAATTATAAGAAGAGCTCTTAACAGGTGAAAGCAAGGGCTTTAGATCGATATGCAGTTTTCTTTCTCAATCAAGGAAAGTGGCTATAAATTAGGCTCATCAGTGTTATTTCCAAGGCTTTCATGAAGCAAACAACTTTAAACTTTTTTTGTCTTCCTTGGATTTACATTAAAAGATACATCACTAAGAATTTTTCTTTTGTTTTTAAGGGTATTTAAGGTACCTGAAGTTCATCCGGGCTTTTATCTTTTTGGCTTTTTTTTTATTTTTTTGCCGCTCTTCTCCATCTTTCAAAGTCTCTGCTGGAGCTGTACTTTCAATCACAATGTCAATAATATACTTCTTCAAGGAAAGATGCTCCTGCAAGATAAATAAATAAAATAATAATAATGAGAATGATTTTTTAAATATAACATAGGATTGCTATAGACTACAGTGAGTATAAGACATTTGATAAAACTAAAAGTAATCTCTGTAATACACTGGTTTCTACAATTGTTTTGGAAAACGTTGAAGAAACTGTTTTAAGATTTTTACAACACTGACTTCACTTCAGTGCATATCAGTTGTGCCTAATACTAAGGATACATGGACATAATCCCTACCATGATATCACACAAGTAGAGTAGGAAAGGTAAAATACATACACAAAACTATAATGCCATCTATAATACCAAGTCAATCGGAGATTTAGAGTGCTGTAATAACTCAAAGATGGAAACAGGATCACTGTTCACTAGGGGGAAAGAGGGGGAAACTTCAGGAAGGAAGCACCATATTTGCTATCCCTTGAAGAAAGGATAAAATGTGAACATACAGATATTAGGTAAGTATGTGTTTGGGCTGGGAGTGGATAAGGTTGCAGAAAGGAAAAAGGAGGTCATCTCAGAAAACACATTCTAGAGATGAGAAAGTGGAATGTGGGTATCGACAGCATAGCTTTGGTTCAGCGAGAGCACACAGTGTTTGGTCAAGTTCTCCTCCTTATCCATCTTAGATTTTATGGCCTATCACTATAATCATTCTGTTGCCTGAGCTCAATTCTTTTCCCCCTTTGTTCTTTCATACATGCATGGCAAAATCCCAACCCTAAATCCAACTCTCACCCTATTCTGAGTCTATGTCTGAAGCAGATTAATGTGGCTATAATTACAAACTTTAAATTTATGAAATTACACCTCAAGTGGCCTCTAGTATTCCCAGGCAGTCAAGCAACCTTACATTAATTAATCTACACACTCGCCTTGCTAAAAATTATTTTAGACTCTCTCCTTAAATCTCCAATATCCCTCATCTCCTAACCCCATCTCTCAGTTCATGATCATGTTTATTTGATTAAAGAAAATAGCATTATTCAGATGAGCTTCCACACACTCCCACAGCTAAATGTGTCAAACAATCTGTATATGTGCTTGTACACTCTCTTCCCTCCTGTTGTAATATATGAACACATGTTCCTATCTAAGAGCAAGTCCTCCAAAATACACTGAATCCCAATCCTTGTCTTGCATTTTTATGGTTATTTCTCCTCTTATCCGGATAATCAGTTTTCCTGTTTCTATTTAAATCATCTCAAAAGGATTCTTGTTCATATGTCTCCATTTGGCTACTACCCTTTTGTACCAAAATTTGTTGAAACAAAGTGTATTTTGCCTCTACTTCCTTCACTCCCATTCACTCCCAAACTCATTTTAGTCCAGCTTTTGCCCTTACCACCCTTACCAATCTGCAAATTTTCCTTGTCAAAGTCAATAACGCCAGTGGCCAGCGTTCAGTTCTTATCTTTTTCTTGCAACTTTAGTCCTATAGGTCATTTCCTCCTACCTGAGACTCCTCCTTCACTTGGTTTCCTGATATCACATTGTCCTTCTAACTCATTGGCTGCTCCTTCTAAGTCTTCTTTGCTGGGTCATTTTTCTCTTCTTGACCTCTAAATGTTAAAGCATCCCAGAGCTACACTCAGAGCTTTCTTCTTCTCTATCCAAACTCACTCATTTAATGCAGTAACTTGAAATATTATTCATACACAGAAAATTCTCAAATTTTTATCTCTAGTTCTGACCTCTCTCCTGAACTCTATTCACTTGCATAAAAATGTCTCCTCAAATTGCTTGAACCTGGGAGGCTGAGGTTGTGGGGAGCCGAGATCACGCCATTGCACTCCGCCCTGGGCAACAAGAGCGAGACTCGGTCTCAAAAAAAAAAAAAAAAAAAAAAAAAAGCTTCCTCGGCCAGGTACAGTGGCTCACACCTGTAATCCCAGCACTTTGGGAAGCCAAGGTGGGAGGATCACTTGAGGGCAGGAATTCGAGACCAGACTGGCCAACATGGTAGACTCCTGTCTCTACTAAAAATACAAAAATTCGCCAGGCATGGTGGTATATGCCTGTACGTACCTGTAATCCCAGCTACCTGGGAGGCTGAGGCAGAAAAATCGCTTGAACCCAGGAGGCGAAGGTTGCAATGAGCCGAGATCACGCCACTGCAGTCCAGCCTGGGCAACAAAGCAAGACTGTCTTAAAAAAAAAAGTCTCCTCAAAATCTCCAATTAGGTGGAACATTTCCACAATCAGCATTTCAAAAATAACATGTCTACAACAAAACTCTTATGTTCCTTATATACATCAAATTGTTCTTCTGAGAGTGTTCTCTATTTCAGTAAATGGTACCATCATTTGCATAATTGCTCACATCCAATACATGCGCAAATCCTATCAGTTCTCCTTTCATATATATCCCCAATTCAACCACTTCTCCCTAACATCCTCACCTGCTCTAAGTCACCATCAGCATTCATTTATATTACTGCAATAGCCTCTGGTCTCGCAGTTTCTAATTTGACCCCACAGGTCTTTTCTCTATAAAAATGGCCACTTATTTTTTTAAAACAACAGTCAAATCACATCATTCCTTTTATCAAAACTTACATTCTCATTACACTTAGGGTAAATCCAAATTGCTCACCATGACCTACAAGGCTGAGTCATTGATCTCTCTGATCTCATCTACCATTCTCTTCTTTCTTCACTAAAACTACACCCACAGTGGTCCTCTTGTTGTTCCCCACATTCATCAGAAACGTTACTGCCTCCGGGCTCTATATGTTTTTCCCTTAGCCAAGAATATTCTCTTGGGTATTTGCATGGTCTTGACCAAAATGAATGCTCAGTCTTAACATCCTCTATTATTTGCCATCTCCTTATTCTATGTTTCTTCATAGGACTTGTTTCACATCACTGCCTAATATTACATATTCATTTTCAATTTCCGTCCTCAAACATAAGTTTCCCAAGGGCAATGACTTTGTCTGTTTTATTCATTGATGTTTCTATGTCTAGAACTGTGCCTGGCACATGGCAAACACTCAGTAAGTATGTGTTAGATAAGTAAAAAGAGAGTTAATGTAATAACAACTAATAGTATTTTTCAGCCCTTATTACACAAGATACATTGAGCTAAGTACTTTATATAATATCATTCATCTCGTCCTTACAACTATACTTAGAACATACTTAGAAGGTATATATTTTTATTATCCTCATTTTAACTATGAGAAAACTTGGACACAAAGTTAACTTTTTCAAAGTTAGAAGGCCAAAACCATGACTGAGTGACATTGCAGCTAGTAAAGTGACAGAGCCTAAATTTAAACCCAGACAGGGTGATTAGGGAATCCACATTCTTGACTACCTTAGAGATACGGCTGGAAGTAGGTTTGAGCTATAGAATTGTGCTCACTTTCCAAATTATGAACCTACCAACAAAAAACAAGCAACAACAAAAAACAAAAACCCCACAGTCAAACGAAGAAAATGTTCTTTCACTGTAGAAGCAATTATTTTCTTTGATAAACTAGGCCTATGGTATACTATACCTTTATACAGTAGCACTAACGCAAAGCAATGATTTAAGTAGTAAGTACACACATATAAAAAACTTAAAATAACCCAGGTTTTTCTTTTCAAAGAAAGAACACAGTTAGTGGCAGGGGGAGAAAACTCTCTTCTCATTATCTCCCAAAGACATATGGAACAAAGCAAGTCATATACGAAAGCACCATCCATACTACCATTTACTGAACACTTACTATGTGATTAGCAAAGGACTGGATCAAGTACATACATTATTTCCTATCATCTTCACAATCCCATAAAGCAGGTGGTAGTATGTGTACATTTCACAGATGGTTAACAAACACAGATGTTTACAGATGCAAACCTCAAAGAAGTTTGGTATAATGCTCATGGTCACAAAGCTTAAGATCAAAACCATGACTGACTGACTTTACAAGATCAAGGTTTTTTACTACTACATATTTCCTCCTGCCATGCTGCTCACGCAGGCTAGTCTCCGACATGTTATTTGATCACTGCACTAAGGAAAAGAAATATTCTAAATGGTATCTTCAGTTTTGTGAAAGGTTCAAATCATACTATTTTCAGTTGTATATAAATGTTGTTTACATATCTAACAGAAACCACTAAGGAAACATACACAAATGCAGTCACTATGCAAAAACTTGGACTCTATCCAGAACTATCAAGAATCATACCTTTGTTATAGACAACACCTTTACACACATATTCACATACAAAACCACATACATCAGGCATTCATATTAATGTTAACATTTTTAAAATCTCAAACCAGAGACAAATGAGCATATGTTTTTGTTTGACTTAATAGTAAACTTTTTCTTAACACAAAAATGTGTTAATTATACAAAAAATACATAAATAAAAATTAAGATTAAAATATTTCTAATAACTAGAAAAAAACTAATGTTTTGAAGTATATTCTTCTAGACATTGTTCTTTGTACATATAGTTCTTTAAAAATAGGTTATCCCATTTATAAAATTTTTAAATTTGCTATATTTGATATAGATACATATTCTTTCCATTAAATAATATCCTACAACATAAGCTAATAGATGTAAGCTATTCCATTTCATGAATATACCTATTTTGCCTAATGCCTTATTGTTAGATATCTGGATAATTTTTAATTTTTCAATGTCATAAATAGTGCAACAAAATATTCCTATAAATCAAATTTAAACAAATAGTCAATTATTCCTTTATGATCAAATCACAGAAATGAAAAACCTGGGCAACAGATTACACATATTTTTAAGACTTTTGATAAGTACTCTCAAACTGAATAATCAAAATGGGAATTAATTTATGTCCCCACAAGTGGTTTGCCAGTATGTGGTGTTCCTGTTTTGTTTCTAAATCTGTTGATTAGTTAACTAAAATATTGGTATTAGTATGCGTTTTGGTTTCTGTGACTTTGGATGTTTCTTCTGTTCCTTTCTATAAACACATTTCAAGTCTTTACATACTAACTTTTAATGG